ATAAATTTTTTTGGGAGTTTTAAAATTAAGTTCAAATGCCAAAACATGCTCATCATCCCTCTACCACCCAAAACATGCCCACCGCCCCTCAGCATCCTCCCACCGCCCCCCGGGGGGTGGTAACGCCCCTGTTGAGAACCAATGCTCTATTGTCTGCAGTCTCCCTGGCTCTGCAACTTCATTTAATTACAAGATCAGACATTATGAGGGCTTTTTCAGTAGCTGTGCTACTATTATTGTTCAGGGAGTGTCCCTGCTCTTGAAAAATCATTGGAGAACATTTTTTTATTTATTTTAAAAAAAATCAGAAAACAGTTGTCCACCAATTTCTTTACCCACATATCTAGTGAAGAAATTCAAAAGGCCATTTGGGACCAGTACTTACAGGCTCAATAACTTTCAGATTCTCAGAGAGTATCAGAGATTTGCTTTGGCTGGATCTGTCATGGATGTTGCTGGGACTTTTGATCCTCATCTGAACAGCACCTGCGCTTTCATGGGAAGGATGTAGCTTTCCTACGCTGGTATCAGAAGTTGCTAACTGCTGCATGATTAATATGTCAATCTGAAAAATATAACAGTTAACCATGCTTAACACACTTTGCATTAAGCCAGCCTGGAATCCCTTTTAGCGAACAAGAAGAAAACCGTAAAGCCAATATAATATCTCTAAATATCAGGATATCTTAACAACAGCATTAATAACCTAGGGCACTTTTATTATTCACCAAGTCATCCAAACTGTCTTGGAAGAGTGCAGTTTGCATAAAAGATTATTCTTATCTCCAAAGCCATTCTTCTGTCGTGTAATTTTTCAGTAACCTTTCTAGTATAGCCAGCTGGCAGGGAGTACAGTTTGCCTTTGGTCTTCTCATACTCACATCTGAGACAGACGTCTCAAGTTTGCTCAAAGGCTGAAAGAGACTTATTTGGACTCCACCAATTGTGCCAGAAGGTCCAGCGGTGAAGTTACATTCAGGCCTTCATACAGGGTTATCCTGATTTTTTTTTTTAATAGACTTGTAAAACATTTGTTTTGACATTTCAGAAAGATGATGTAAAGGTGGAATACATGACAACCAATTTAATATATACATAGTCCATTGATGCTATAGTATATTAGAGCTGGGCTCATAATACTGTAATTACATAGCATTAGCCTTAGTGCAAGACAGGAAATGTTAACTTCAGACAAGAAGCTCCTTAGTAAATAATTCAGCAAATCTTGTAATTCAGAATATGAATTTTTATGACATATCAAGTTTTTATTTGACCTCCCTCTAAATATGTCATTAACAAAGATAACCTCCTTCTATTTAACCAGTTCTTCCCTATTTTCCAGTACCTGTCACCAGCCCTGGAGTCTAGAAAATGTTAGGTTCCCAGGACATATAACAAACAATATTTTCTTATTGTGCTAGATTGCACTAATGATTTTAAGCTCCAGGAAAAAAGGATAGGGAGACGGAGACATCTCTTTCTGTTCATCATAAGAGCAGTAGCAGCCACTACCTAATAACAGATTCTGGAGAATCCCTAGAATTTGAAGGAAGAACTGGACCTTGCTGCACTCTTAATAAAGTTGTTAGGAAAGTAATGGGATCTGATTTTATTCAAAACGGACTTGGGAACAACTTAAAATAGCTCAGTTATAATGCAGATGAATTACAAACTAGCTGGTGATCAGGGTATGTGCGTGTGTATGTATGTGTGTGTATACACACACACACACATACACACACACACACACATACATACATACATATATACATACAATCTTTTCAAAGGTGCTCAAGACCATATAAAGTGATTTTACCATCTCATATTTAGGTACATGCAAGAGTAGCTTACACGCAAAAATGGCCAGAGTGATCACATCAGAGAAAAAAACTTGTTTCTAAAATTGTTGAATTTTTCAACAATTTCAAAGTCAAAAATGTTATCTGTTTTGGATACTTAATCATGGAAGAACATAAAACAGCTGGTAAAATAAAAAGGCAAATAGGAATTTCCAGGAAAACCTTTTGAGACATGAAAAATATCCTAACCTCAAGGGAAGTAAACTTCAAATGAAGAATAGGAATGGCCCAATCTTATATGAAGTCAACTCTCCTTCATAATTCTAAAACAGGGACAATATCCAAGGAGGCTGAGAGCAGGTGGAAATCTTAGAAATGTGGCTTTTAAGATGTATCTTGAGAATCATTTGGAATCACAAAAGATCAAATATTGAAATCCTAGACATGCCTAGAAAGGAAGCCCTATAAACACCATCAAACAAAGAAAATTGAGATACTTCAGTTACTTACTCAGACCCAATTCTATGCAAAAGGCCCCTGCTGGAAGGAAGACTGGAAGGAAAGAGAAGTAGGGAATAAAAAAGCACCTGAAGTAGTGATATACGTAATTGGGCTGGTCTAAATAATGAAGAAAATGCAGAGGTAGACACAGTAGAAATTCATGATTGTCACCCAGGAAGAAGAACTGAACTGCAAGTCTTTGATGTAATATCTTTGAAGATTTTTCATATGGAGACAATTTCAGATACACAGATCTCTCATTAACAATAAAAAGGGTTATATATAAAGTTTACTACCTCAGCCATAAATGAATAAAGGCCCCTTCTTCCAACCTAGGAAATATGACAGTGTTTTACTCTGAGCTTAGTGAAGTGGACTAAACTGCTAAAATATTACTAGAGCAGGTGTGTGTAACATGTACATTCATTCAATTTTCAGATGCTATTCAGCAGTTTAAAAGTGCTAAACCTGCTTCTATTTTCTCTGACACATCAAGTGTTTCTGAGCTTCTACCATTTTACTTATATCACAAGCACGATATTTTTCTTACTTGGGACCTTGGGCTATTATTAAATCTGTCAGATCTCATAAGTATAGGTTGTCAGATCAATTTGTGCTTACGTTGGAAATTTATAAGAAAAGCCTAAGAGCTGCAGGACAGATGGACATTGGGATGCAAAGAATGCCATCTTCTGGATGAAATACAGAGCAACATTTTTCAAATGCATGCAAGCACTTCTCAAGCTGAACAAGCTGTTTTTCATGGGACTTCTCCTGATTAGGCCTCCTATCTGAGGCTTATTGATGAAAAGTTGACAGTAACTCAAAATGTGCCACCCCACTTACAAGATGCAACTATCCCATTGTGCCTTTTTCCTTGCCACAGTCATCCTATTTCCAGTAAGATAACAGTCTATCATTCCAGTGTATGGAGAATGTAAGTAGGGCTTGTCAGCCCTGTGAAGTAGAATGGACTCCACAGGAAGAGTAGAACTAAACTTTAGTGAGATAGACTAGTAACAGAACCTTGCAAATCTATTTTTGTTTTACCTTCCTTCCCTCTTATACCCCACTGAGTCAGGGAGCAGCTACCCTGAGTCTCTTCCTAATACTGTCTCCTTGCCCTGGGTTTAAGGAATGCTTCTGCCCTTGTTTCTGTAATTTCTTCTGAATATTCCCTTCAAGGCCATCTCATGGCTCTCTAGAGGGATGGAACACTTGTATAGCTTCAAATGCTGCTGAACTACTACTCCCAGCAAGTCACCTAATCTGGCCAATAGCAAAGGATGCTGGGAATTGTGTTTCAGTAGCATCCAGAGGGGCCACCATTCTGACAAATAAATCTGCAGATTGCAATGTATCCCTATGTGTTCCATGGAGAGAAGCAAAAGCACCTCTCTGAGACTCCAGACATCTAATGTCAGATGAGGCTATGCTTCTATACAACAGTGTTCCTAAATGTTCTTCTCTTCATCATGGGAGAGATGGCAGCATTTAGTCACTTATAGGAGCAAGCATAAACTAGGTTCTCATCCCGAGTGCTAATCAGAGACTTCCAAAGATACTTTGAAGTATGAAGAAGAAATCAAAATGTTTTAACACTAGATTAAATTAGCAGTGGAAAATTTTAACCTTTTGATGTTGTAGACCTCTCTGCATCCACTGTTATGAGTAAAACTGTCTGTACTGGAAGTTTTCTTTATTAATATTTAAAAGGCTACAAACTAAGCTAGGTATCTGGCAATTTTCAGCCTGCAAGTCTGCTTCTGATGCTGTTAACATCATCAAGTAACAAGTCTGCTTCTGATGCTGTTGGGTCTGAACCTTAAACATCAGACTGCTTCCCCTGCACAGGACAAGCCTGGGTCTATTTCTTATTAAAATATAATACTGATATTGAATCTGTACATGCGTACATTTAGTCCAGTACTCTGCAGCTTCAACTGTCAATAGCTTGCTAGGAAGTCAGGAAAAATTACAAACTTTGGTATACAAAATCCATGTAAATGGAGAAGTTAGTGATTGAATCTCTGCCCTGAACCGTCTCTGAAATATGGGCTCATATATTAATGTATGCTAGAACCAGGGCTGAATTTAATTTCTTCAAAGTTACCACTTAGTTCCCCCACTGCCAAGCAAAGACAGGTATAAGTATGTGCACCTGTGTATAAGAATAATATGTAGCCCTGAGAATGGGCAGAATCCTTTCTTAAACTAAGGTCTACATAAAATATGAATGTTTATGAGTTGTACTCAAATAATCAAAGGGATCTCTGATATATATTTCAAATTCCTGATTTATTCTCTGTACAAAACATGACAGTATAAGAACTTCTTCCAGATTAACAAAACATCAAAAATGGATGAAAATACCCCTAAATTTGTAGGGAAGGATATATCTGAAAAGAAACATTGCATCAAGATTTATATAAGCTATTGACAGCAATTACAATGTTGGATTCACTTTTTAATAGATTGAGAAGTTAATAGTTCAATTTATGTAGGTGGAACAAACACCTAGAATTTCTCTTTCAATGCTATGGTTTTCAAAAAATATGTGTAGTTTTATTTTTTCCTGATTTTAAAGAGTATCATTGGGCATAAAGTATTTCTTAGCTTCAGTAATGTACTGGAATGAAAACAATAGGGACTATTCACTGTTGTCATCTGAACTATGTAGTTTATTTATGAGGAGGCAAGACACAAGAGGTGAACTGATTATGTTTATTAAGATCAGGTTATTAAGATCACTCAACCCTGACCTGGAATAAAAAGGTGCTTTACATCTTTAAGGAACATACCATTGTTCCCCATAATGTAGATAGGTTCAATTGTTGCAAGATCATCCACAGGACCCATCCTGCTGTCAAAATAATGAAAGCAACAGCATGTCATTGTGACATGTGCTCCAATCATTTTATGCATCTATGACATCATGATGCATGTACAAAAGCATTGGAGCTTATACTGTATCCACATGACCCTGCTTTCATCATTTGCCTCCCCTTGCCCTTCACCAAACTAATAATGTATTATAACCAAACATTTAAAACATTATAGAAATAAACTTGGATAATCTACAAAATATATGGAGTAGAGAGTTGGAATATCCTATGTGGTAAAATCAATGGCTTTATATGTTAAGAAACACTCAGTACAGCAAAAAATACTTTTATGGGTATATTGGTCTCAAAAGGTGTTCAGAAAGGTTGCCTGTCATCCTTTCTATGCTGGAGTTGTAATACATTTGAAGGAACTCTAAAGCATGGTTTTTCAAACTGTATTCCACAAGAACTTGATGAGGTTCTGTGAGGAACTAAGGAAAAAAAAAATCCTGCAGACAATTTTCTAACACTAGAACATTGCCTCCTGATCAGGGATTCTTGCCGCCGCCGCCTCCTCCTCCTCCTCCTTTAAATGAATAGGTTCCACAGACAGAAAAAGTTTGAAAACCCCTGCTCTAGAGCACATGTTACTCAAGTCTACAGTAAAACAAATTCTTGGAAGAAAGTTCAAATATATTAACACGTTGCTAGCATATTCCAAAAATGTGCACTATTTTGATGGAGTCCATCAAACTGGAGACCTAATTGTGGAGGCCCAGGCTGATTTCTCCTTATCAATTTTACAAGGTAAGAATCCCATCTATTAGGTTTCCAACATGTGTATGAGCCTCCTGCCCACGCAGTACATCATGTACATGGCAGAGGAGCGGGTTGAACACCTGCTACTCTTGAATGCCAAGAGTTTTTTTGTTTAAATCTCCATGTTTTAATGTTTTAAGGGATTATATATTAAATAGTGTGAAAGACCCTTGTTTGTCTGAGACCTTAGAAAATTGTTGCTGGGTACTGAAAATATCCTTTTTCAAGCAGGTGTTATCTGAATGTGGTGAAACTACAATTCTAGGACATGTCTCTCCATACGTTCTGTGGAGCAGAGCTGGGTTGCGCCTCTTGTGCTTCCATTTGGAGATCTCTTTTGGAACAGGGCTCCACCTTCCAGTATTGCTGATATGGATCCCGTTTAGGACAAATATGAGCTATAGCTAAGCCCATTTTTTCATTCTGCATGACAAGTATTCCAGATATATTTCTACTGACATCTCCTCTGCTTATTACTGTTCCTCAGCAGTGGCATAACCAACTTCAGACAGGCTAAGCGTAGTTTTATCATCACAGCATAACATTTTTCAATTGCTTTTTGATTCTACTGGCTTTCTACCTCCTCTCCACTTCTCACTAAAACTACGTGCTGTTCATATTTCCTCAGCAAATTGTCTACCTTTTTATGGGAAAAAAAGTTATGCCTTTTGAAATGTAAAAGATGTTGCCAGTTGCACACCCAGGACAAACACCAACACAAATATTCAGATCTTTCATAATATGCTTCCATTGCATTGATAAAAGAATGGGTTTTTTTTAAGATACATTGCATATGTGCTACATTAAAATGATATGCAGTAGTAAATGTTTCTCTATTCCCTTCCTGTATTGTGTCATACATCTTTAGCAACAGGTTGCATATATGGATTGAGAAGCAAATTAAGATTCCTTACCTATATTCTGTTGTGCACTGTTTTTCTCATCTCCGACATCAACATCCAGTTTCAGCTTTTAAAAAGAAAGCGGGAAATATGAAATGGCTCCCTTCTGAAGGCTACAAATCTTGTTTCATCTAAGGCAGCACAAAGCAAGCAAGGAGAAAAACAGAGCCAAACCACTTCCTGTCAAAAGGAGTTCAGCACCCCATCAGTAAAAGCACACCACAGAATAGGAATCAAAAAAAGAACAGAGGCTCTAGCATGAAAATTATGTGGAGTTCAACTTACTACACAGTTTCAGAAGATGTAAAAGTTTAAAAGGAAATAGAAAGAGGAATGAGCACAGCTGAAATTATTTCAACTTCCTCTTCCTTTGCTTTGTAAAAAAGAAATGTTTGAGAAATCAAGCCTGTCAGTGGCAAATACTTCTTCCTGTGTTCCCCTCCCCTTTGGACTTCTTTCATGAGAAACAGCTTTAACTATTACAAATCTCTATATAAAATTATATTTTGATTTTCAGTTTCATATTAACGTAGCATGCAACTGTTACTAGTTCTGCTTTCTTGGTTTCCTGTCTAAAAATTACCACAGAAGAGATGCTGAAGGCCATCTCTTAAGGCCATCTCTGGATGAAAGAAGCTCGTGCATAGAATTGTACATGGGCAGAAGCTTTTTCCGATGCTTCTAGTGAAGCTCTGGCATCCTTGGAGCAAGATAACATGCCTGCTTCACTCTTAAAGTTTGGGCGGGGGATATTTCTTCACAAATAACCTTCAAAGGATGGGATTGCACTAACCTTGGTCGAAGCACCACTTCAAAAGTTTCCACGGTCCTAGTATTTAATGCTTCTTTCCATTCTTTTATATTCACAATTACTTGGTAGTGCTGTGGAGGTATTCTGGGGACCACACCAAAGACTTTGGGGAGTGCATGTTGTTCTAGAATCTGGCTCTTCTCCTAGGAAAAGTGGACAACTCAGTGATCCAGTAATGGCATGAGTACCTGAGGAAGGACATTAAAATCTGTTTCATCAAAAACTGATCTTATTGATTATCAGGACACTTATGTATTGGAAAGATGCAGAAGAACAAGCAGGAAAATATCAATTGTTGGTAATAAAGGGAGTAAACTATAGACTTTGTAGAGAAAAAGGTACACCAAATTGAACTTCTGTACTGAAACTTTTTTCTTTTTAATTTGGCCAAGTGTTATATATCACATTTCTTTATCAAATGTTTAGGCTGATGAGCTCCAAAATATCTTTTTTCCTGGGTCTGCTAGATGACATTACTTGATCCATGAGACCCAAAGTAAGCCAAATGTCTGATCACACAGGAATGTTTGGATAAGGCTGGATTAGAATATTAAACTACAAATGAGGCTAGACAGGACTTTCACTGAAGGCACGAATCACAGTTTTTATCCAAATCAGACTAGATAGCCTTTAGGAGATTCTAAAGTGCTAAAGAGTAGAAGCATTGTGAATCACAAAATGCAGAAGAGCAGAAACACATGGTTAGAAAATAGAATAATAACAATGCCAAGAAATAAGTTGTTGTAGATATTCAAGAAATTTGGAAAGACAAAAGCCCGTACCGCACACTCAGAGTGGGGCGAGTGATGGAGTTGTGCATACATGTTTGTCCACCACACAGATTCAAGTTCAGTTTACTGAAGAGTAAGAGATATGAAAGCCAGGGGCTGAACAAGCAGATAGAGGATAATAGTAGGGAGTGGAGCTCAGCTCGTGTTTGACATTGACTAGGGAGGTAACAGAAGAAGAGATACAGACCAGACAATTTGAGGAAGGAAAGCTGAGAAAATAAGAGAGAGGGAAGATGGGGTAGGAGAATCCACCAAGACAAACGGAATTTGTTCAATCTGTCCATGTGCATTCCCATTTTATTTTTCATGTAGCAACATTATTTCAGCACGAAGTATTCCATCTGAACTCAGCTAAAGGCTTTTCTACTTCCATCCTATAAAGACCATCACGGACATTTTATTTATTTGTTTGTTTGTTTGTTTATTTGATTTCCATAGCCACCCATCTCAACAAGTGACTTTGGGCAGTGTACCATCGTAAAACATAGAACAATTAAAAACAATTACAGCAATACAAAATAAACTTACAGTATATGGTCACCGAGTAAAAATTATTGCCATAGAAGTCAATATAGCCAAGAAACAGGGCCCTTGACACACTCGGGGACCCAGGCCTGGGCATATAACCAGGTCTTCATGGCCTTACAAAAGGCCAACAGGGTTGGGGTCATCCTAATCTCTGAAGGAAAAATGTTCCAGAAGGCAGGGGCTACAGCAGAGAAGGCACATCTCCTAGTCCCTGCCAGCCAGTGGGGGTAATCAAAGAATATCTAATAAATATCCCCCCCCCTTTCCCAATTTAAATGAGCTGAGAGCTACTGAGGCATGCTTTCATTTCGGAGTTGCTTTCATTAACAGACCATGTCACAGAACTGATCCCTGACAAGTGGAAGCTGTGCCTGGTAGCTCTGACAATAAAACTACACTTAAAATAGCTAAAGTGTATATCTAAAGCCAAGGCCACCAACTCATGCTGATGCATTATTTAAAAACTGCTTTTGACAGGGTTTAGGAACATGTCAGTTGAAAATGCAGAACATTCTCATTTGTGAGAACATTAGACCTTTAGGTGCTAAAGGCACCCTGATCAAATCACAGTGATGTGACAAAAAAAAGTTGATGCAATTTAAACAATAAGTTTCCCATGAAAAATATGCCGTGTTGTTTGTCGTAGTTCATGCACTGGGAGGTAGTGATGGGAGAAATCCAAATAGAAGCAAGAACCATCAGGATTGGAGGGAAGGAAAATGCTAGAATTAGTTTAGATATATTTTAACATAATCCCTCTGTAACATTCTCTTTTTTTAGGAAAAATAACACAAATATTCACAGACCATAATTATTTGGACAAATACGTAATTTCTTTTTATTTAATTTACCTTTTAAAACAATAACAGAAAAAAGGATATATCAATATCCTTTTCCAAGTGGGGCTGAATTGTGAATTTTTGAAAATATGGCAATGTTCTTTTAATACAGTAGTTTGTAACAGGTGGGACCCAGGAGTATACAATGGACCCAGGCATACAATACCTGCTACCTGTTCCAGAAATTGTGGTTGTTGGTGGCAGAGAGAAGACATCTATAGTTCTGTTTATTCATTTGCCAGAATGAGTGAAAAGCTTGAAGTGGGGAGAGAACTGGACCACACACAGTCCTGTCCCTTCTGACCTTCATGCATGTAGCAGGAGATCTGAAGAGGAGAATGTACTCACCTTAATTTCATTTGTGTCCACGGTCATGAAGGGCTATACTTGACTTGTTTTAGACTTTAGATTTCCTGCCTGAATATAGGGAACTGGTGGGGTTCACTCAGCTCTGTGCTTTCTCTCAGCCTTTTGATTGCTGTGATGCTCAACTGTTGCACACACTTGCAGACTCTGGCAATTTATGGCTTAGATCAGGAGGCCAATCAGAGATGGAGATAAAAGCATCACTTATGTGTGAAGGCAGTTATCCTGATGGAGAAAAAAAAATGCCATTTGACTGCCATAGAGCTTTTGTGCACCCAAAGGCTACCTTAGAGGGAGTAGAATGTGTGGGTGAAGTGTTGTTTTTGTCCTGGTGGGGCCCAGTTAATATGAGTAGTTGATAGGATGTATGGTATGAAAGATTGTCACTGCTCTTAAATCCAGCCTTTATAAGAGGTAACTTTTCAAGCCAATCAAGGCCTACAAGAGACATACATCTCTTATTTAGCCAGTCCTATTCATTTTGTGTTTTCTAAAAGACAAAGTACAGTGGTACCTCTAGTTACGAATGCCCCTCCTTACGAATTTTTCAAGATAC